TGCTGTCAGCATCACTGCTCTACCCTGGGAACCTGGCACACAGTAGGTATTCAGTAAATCATCATTGAATGAACAGTAATACTGGGTCCAATTTCTGTGGGTGTCTGTCCCCCCAGTTCAGGGACCCCTCAGGGCCCACCTCACAACTGACATGAAAATAATAGTATCACCAGGAGCAACAACAGTTCCTCAGAATAAGTGGGCTTTTCCAAGCACTCTCCACCTGTTGCATCAGCCTCCCAGCCGGGAGGTGGGCTGTGAGGGGCAGCAGGCAGCACTGCACTCTCCACTGTAACAAGGAGAAAGCCAAGGGCCACAGAGAGGAGTGCCTTTCCAGTGTCAATGCTCACTTTCCCAACTTTTGGGAGACTGGAGGCTTTTCTGCTATATTCTGGACCTGAAGCTGCAAACCTGAGTGGACATGCCGCCCTCTCTGGAGCAAGGAACCACTAAGTGACCTGTCACTTGTCACCAAGCAGAGGGATTCATCCCAGCTCATCATGCTAACTGCAGATTGGGCTAATAGCAGGATCCTCTGGGAGACATCACACTCTTCCACTGTGGAAACGGGTGAACAGCCCACAGGTTTCCTGGAGAGGATGGTCACATGGCCTTGATCTGACCAATCAGCATTTTCCATCCTCCCTGGCCACTGTGATTGGCTCAGGGCTGGACACCAGCCCAATCAGGCTCCACAGAGTTCAGGCTTTGGTGCTGGAATCCTAGGGGAAGAGAAGTTCTATTTCAGTTGGGAGTTGAGGGGTGGTGATGTCATCCTGTGGCAGTTGGTGGCTGTCTTGCTCTCATAAAGGCAGAGCCATGTGAAGATGGCACCAATGCCAGAACCCAGAGGTGGGGAAGGATGACTTCTGCTGATGTCACTGAGCACCAGATAAAGCCCTGCCTGAAGCTGTCTCCCTGTGAATGTCTCAGTTAAGTAAGTCATTCTCTCCTGCCCTGTTTGCTTCTTTAAGCCACTTTGGTTTTCTGTCACTGGTTTAAAACAAACAAAAACAAAACTATTCTTTCAAGTTGGCTAAATGGAGACCCTGGAACTGCAACAGTGTGGTGACAGGCAATGATGTGGCTAATAGATTCCAGAGCCCTCTGTTCAAATAGAGGATTGTAACTGACAAGGGAGAGTAAATATGGCCTCAGTGAATGGATTTGCCTAGTGGCAACTCCCAGTTCCTGGATATTAGTGTGCACACACTCAGCCGGGTCTCAGCTCTGCTGTCACACCTGCTAACCCACACCTCTCCTCTCCCACGTGCCTAGCCTTGGGGCTGGACACCCCAGGGCACTTGGAACAGCCCAGAGTTTTGTGTTGTAATTTACACAGGCTGCCCCCACGTCTGAGGGTGAGGGTGACTGGGTTCCAGTTTACAGAGGAGAAAACAGACTAGAGGGGCTTGCTGGTGAGCTGTGGGGGTGGGACTCCAATCTACCATCTGACCTATGACTTCAGAGTGGGCAGCCTCCCCACCCTTAGCCAGGATGCTTGCTAAGCCTAGGGGCTCAGGAGTCCTGCTCCGTCCATCACTCCACCTGGAGGTGAGGGTGGGGAGCGGAGGGGTGGGCTCTTCTCTATACAACACTCACCCCTACAGGGACTCATGTGTGACACCACAGACTGTAATTCCTTTCTTATGACCTGGGCCTCCTTGGCCAGGTGTGAGAGGCGCCTTGACATGTGGGCACTGCAATTCATGGGTGCACATGTGAGCAGGTACACCTATGACTGAGGGAACAGCACCCCAAATTAAAGCCCCCCATGCTCAGATGATTACATTCTGGAAGTGAGGGGTGCCCAGGGGTCAGGGGGCCAATTCTCAACTTGGGGGCAAATTGTTGTCATCCAGGGGGATGATATTTTAAATTAAATTACACATTTGCAATCCAATAGTCAAGCCCCTTTCTCAGCAGCTTTGTAGCCTCTCAGCTTTTACTCCTCTCTGTGACCACGTTCTTAGCTTCAAATTGAGTCCCATTATGGACATAAATATATCCCTTTCATGTGTCACCTTCAGAGTAAGAGACCACCGCAAACTCCCTTCCCTTCCCCTTGTCAACACCTCCACACAGGAAGTGAGGCTCTTTTGAAGCATTTGTGCTGATGTGTGAGCTAAAGATTTAGAATGACCAGGCTAGGAGGGGCCTGCCCCACATGTCAAGGGGGGTGGGCGGGTAGCTGGTGATGATTCACCTATAAAACCTCAGCTGGTATCAGGCAGTGACAACAGAGTGGCAGCCAAGGGCTGAGCAGGTGCAGAATAAGCAGATTAAATGTGTTTACGCAGCCACCTCTGGGATGGCGGCCCCGGAGCATGACTACAAGTGTGGAAGGTAGAGGGTCCCCAGAGCCTGTACCCCTAACTTCTAAAAATCAGGGTTAAGGTGTAGCTTCGAAATCAGAAAACTGGGGTTCAAAGCTTCCACCATCACTTGCTCAATTATTCAAAGCAAATGAGCTTCAGTTTTCTCATATGTAAAATTGGAACATTGAAGCCTCTCCCTCTGTATATATCACATTTTCTTTATCCATTCATCTGTCGATGGACACAGGTTGTTTCCATATCTTGGTTATTGAAAATAATGCTGCAGCGAACATGAGGGCACTATTCTCTCTTTAAAATAGTGATTACATTTCCTTTGGCTATATTCCCAGAAGTGGAATTGCTGGACCATATGGGAGTTCTATTTTTGAATTTTTGAGGAAACTCCATACTGTTTTCCACAGTGATGGCACAGTTTACATTCCCACCAACAGCGCATGAGTTTCCCTTTTCTCCACAACCCAGCCAGCACTTGTCATCTCTTGTATTTTGATGACAGCCATCCTGACAGGTGGGAGGGGATATCGCACTGTGGTTTTGATTTGCATTTCCTTGATGATGAGTGATGTTGAGCACCTTTTCATGTACCTGTTGGACATCTGTGTGTTTTCTTTACAAAAATGTATTCAGTTCCTCTGCCCACTTTTTAAATCAGATTGCTTGTTTTTGCTGTTGAACTGTTAGAATTCCTTATATGTTTTGGGTGTTAACCCCTTATCAGATATATGGTCTGAAAGTACTTTCTCCTAGTCTGTCTGTTACCCTGACCTCAGCTTTCTGGAGTCAGACCCGCTACCTTTGCGCCACGAGGTCAGCCGCGACCTCTGCTTTCTGGATGACCGGGGTCCAGGCACTCGGGAATCATCACTTCTCACACGTGTTTCCAATAGTGGGTGGGTGGGGGCTGTGTTCTGATAAAACTGCAGAGCTGTGGGTCACCATCCCCTCTTCTAGGAGTTGGGCTCTCAGGAGTGCAGTGTGGGCAGGGATGTTTCCCTGAAGTCATGCGTCTGATAGTCACGTGGTCTGGAGCTTACATCTTCTAGCCCGGTTGTGATGGGGCAATTTGCAAAGGGAGGACCTTGCAGCTAAAACACTGAGCAGGTGCTTGTGTGCCTTGTTGGAAGGACCTGGAAACCAA